GAAATTTGATTATGATCTAGTTTTGAGAGACGTTTCTTCAAAAGAAAGTTTTGGAAAACACGACTTATTCCGATTTTTGACGTTTTAATGACGTTTTAAAACGTCACCCGTCCCCAAAGGGTTAATCAATATTTGTTTTGAATTTTTTAGAGAGTCCACCCTGTGTGATAGTGAAACAACCGATCTCTCAGATAAAAATTGTACCGGTGAAGAGTTAGAGTATGAAAGAAATAATAATATTCCAAAAGTTGTTAGTCAAACGAATATGGGTGGTGGAGGTGGTGTTAAACGACCGCAAATTATAGATGATTCTCTTGATCATGATGTAGATGAAAATAGAGAACGAAAACGAGTAAAACATGAAGATGTAAGTAACGAATTCAACAGTATTTTTTTAGTCAGTCTTATTAAGCCGGCATATTTTGTCAATCGAACGATCGGCAAATTTGGTTACACTAATAAAAGATGCGTGAAACTCGATCGGATAAGGAATTCAACTTTATATCTAATTATTAAACATTTTCAATTGTAGATGTTATATTTTGTTCTTTCACTTCTTTTAGTCGAATTATGTGATTACGTCACTACATTCTAGTCGAATTGTTGCGACAACAACAACAACTGTTGCTACGAATGAAGATAATGGACCAGTTGTGATCACATCTGAAGCTCATCATAAGGAAGTGAACTGTGCTGATGAAAAGCCACAACTGCGAACGGTAAGGGATGTTGTTCATTCACCACATATATCAAGTCCTCATGGAAATACTGGATGGATTTATGCAGCAACAACATCTTCAACATCAACACCCATACATCATCAACGAGAGTCTATAGCACCAAAGAAAAAAGTACGAAAACCATCACAAGAATTTTTACAAACAAAATCAGGTAAGACAAAAATGTTCAATTTGTACAGAGAAGAACAATGTGAGGGCTGAATTTTGTTTTCTTTTGTTACAATGATCAAGACTTCTTTTCACGTAATCGAGTTCCTTGAGTCTGAAGGGATTTTCTGTTGTCATGTTCTTTTGTTTCTTACTTGTTAGAAGAGTCTGAAGCAAGTACAGATGATGCATTTTGGGAGAAAAATGATGATGATAATAATAAATGTCATAAATCAAAACACATTTTACATGAAGAACCAGAAGATATTGCTACGCCAATAAACGACGATGATCAACATCAGTCACAACTACTACAGCAACAACGAACTTTAACAAACGCTTTAACACCATATACACCAACTGTTAATTACACAATGAAACCGAGTCCATCTGGTAGTGGCAGTGTTGATACATTACCTGCACGTGCTCACAATTTTATTTCAAAATCGATACTTATGCCTGAAACATGTTGTGTTGTACGTATTTCATTTCTGATGTAACGATTATGGTCTTCATGTTTTACTTTGTTTGTATGTTATAGTGTATAAAACGAATTCATTTTGGTAAACTAGCTTATCGTTGTTTATCATGCAATACTCTCTGTCATGCATCATGTAAAGAAAATTGTACTACGTTGTGTTTACCAAATGTTAAAACACCAATGCATGGCGCTATTGGAAATTTTACGCCGAAAGAAGGACCAATGATACCAGCTATTCTAGTTCATTGTGTGAAGGAAATAGAACAACGAGGACTTCAAGAAGTTGGAATATATAGACTTAATGCGTATGTATTTTATCATTTTAATTTCTAGTGCAAAAAAGCGTGATACCTCACTTATACATTAAGTTTAAGGAAGTGAATGTATGAATTTAGGTTTTAATACGTATACCAAGTACGTGCTCCTTATGTTACTGAATACTATTAAAGTCTACTTCAGCTGTTTCTTCAAACTATTTGAAAATATTACTTGTGGCATGTTGAGTTGAATATAGACGTGACCATCGCTCGTCTTTTCTTTTATTATCATCAACTGAAGGTTAATGATCACAAGAAATATTTGGTACATTCCGCGTCTTTGAATAAATGTGTCTTTTAGACCCTGGCCAATTTTTTCCCTAATTACTCACTCTCACTTTTGATGTTGTCTTTAACGTTGTTTAATCTTACAAAACCAATTAGGGACGAATATAGAGGACACCAATTGCACTATCAAGGTAGATAACTCAGTTCTGACTTGTTCATATATTGTAGTAATCATTGTAAAATGACTTAAATCTTGTTTCGTTTTTTTAGCGATGGTAGTCAAGTAAAATCTCTAAAAGATCGTATATTAAAAAGTCACACGGGCCTCTTTGATTTATCACATATAGCCGATATTAATACAATATGTGGTGTTGTCAAAGGTTTCTTATATTCATTATCCGAATCACTATTGACTCAACAATTATGGAAAACATTTGCATTGATTATTGAGGAAGAGAGTGATTATGTTAAACAACAAAGATTAGAATCGTTAATTCTTCAATTACCAAAACCAAATCGTGATACATTAGCATTTATGATATTACATTTACAACGTGTGGCTGCTACTCCACAATGTCGTATGCCAATATTAAATTTGACACGTACAATGGGACCAGGTATCATTGGATATTCATCGAAGCATATTAATGGAATCGATGTTGTAGGAGAAACATATAAGCAAACAAAAATTTTGGAATTTTTTCTCAAAATGCCAAGTGATTATTGGACAAAATTTCTTCAGGACTTCACGACAATTACAAATGAATATCCATTGACACCCATCAAAATGAAACAACAACATTTGTATCCATCTCTTCATAACAATGCGACACCAACAGCACCTCATTATTTACAGCAAAATAATAACTTTTTTTCTCCGATATGAGTCCGTTTTGTGCTACTAGTCAGATTGTTGTTGATTCATGTATGTCTTTGTACATATGAATATAAAAATGTTCCTTTTTTTGTTTGTAATAATGTGTGTATTAAGCGGTTGTCAGATAAACAGATTAATTTTTTTCTTCATTATGTTGTTATTTTTTTGTTTATTTCGATACGCTTTTTTTTGCTTGGTTCTTTTTAATCGCATAATCAGTCAATATTTTCGACCAAAAGCAATACATAATTTGATTGTATGTATCTATTTCCCTTTTTTTCCTCAAAACAGAATTGAAAGTAAAATCCAACTAGACTGCAATTGCACTACGCACAAGTTGCGGAGTCGACAGATCTGTCTTCATCTGAACCTGTCAGAAGCGATCCATAGCCAGTAGGTTTCCACTACGTCACTTTCGCTGTTATTATCTGTTTCAGCTGCACAAAAGAGAGGTTAGAAATAACAATGGCTCATGTTTAATATCAATCACTTAGGCCTGAAAAACAGAACAGTCATTCCGCGCAACGGTCAACGCGGTCAATATCTTTCTGATACAATCAAATTTCTAATAGTCCCATTTCGCTGTAAATCCGGTTAAGGCCGTTGGAGAAACCGCTATAGCAGAAAGCCGATCATATACTTTTAAATGAGTCTCGATCAGGTTTTGGACAGCACACTCTTAGCCACAAAATCAGACATCTCTCCACTCTTCACGGTCTCTTAGTCAAATATTATAAGATCAACAAAAACAGCAAAAAGTAACGCACAGACACGTTACGCAGAATGGCTGAGAGAGAGAGAGAATTATATTTCCTCTGAATAACAAATGATGCCGGACAACACGGACTACGAATTTTCATCGAAAAATACTTTATCGAAATTTTTTTACTGTACGATACGGTTAGGAGACTTAAGCAGAGATAGGATTTAGCAGATAGCAGAGCCGTGAGAATGCATAGGAAAGCTCTTTTTGAGGAGGAAAACCATGAACCGACAGCCAAAAAATATTTTCAATGAAAGTTCAGTAAATCAGTTTTTGTTATTTTTCAAAATTTTCGTCATATCCACAAGCTTTTTGGTCTTTTCGTCAACGCAGCTTTGTAGAGCTTTTCAAGCACTATCGACTTCATCAAGAACTGTTTGTGTTTGAAGCCCTGTTGATTGCAAGAAAAATGAAAATACGAGCATGGAGACTTCTTTCAAGGTAATCAAGAAGCATCAGTCAAGTTCTTGATCAACTCGATCAGTTTTATCGGTTTTCAAGCAAAGCTTTTTCTTAGAAATGTTTGGTTTCTGAGATATTCGCCATTTTTAAACCCTATGGATCACTATCATGAAAAAATGTTGTTCATCTTAAAATCTCGAGAAGGTCAATTCCACTAAAGAGCGCAGCAAAGTACGAGAAAGCAATGCGAATTGCAAGATACATTGAGCAATAATATCTCTAACGCAACTAGCAGTCAAGGATTTTATCCGAGGTTACATTCAGTTCAGTCATGTTTCATAACACACATCTAATTTATTTTTCATAATAGATTATAAACATGAAAATAAATTGCTGATAAGTTCAATGAAATAGTTTAACTTGCGACACATCATATAAAGAAAGACAGGAAAACGAAAAAAATGTTAAGAATGAAAGTGACACCTCGATGATTTAATTTATCAAAAGTACTAATATTTTACTTTCTTTTGTACGTTTTTTCCAGTTGTTTTGCGTTTTTGCCTGATCTTTTATCTGAATTATTCATATATATTTGTACAAATATTATCCCTAAAATTGTTTCGACTATTTTACCCATCTTTATTAGTGAATAAAACACTTGCGGTCAATTAAAATTGATAAACGATCAACAACTGTTTCGTTTGTTACTATCTGTAGCAATATTAAAGTTATTACATATTCTTAATTTAAATGATATAGAAATATGTTTTGAATTGTGTATGAAATATTTCCTACTATTAGACGGTTTAACAGTTGAATTTCATAAGAGTCGATCTGTATTAAAAAGTTGTGTTTCGGATTCCATTCGTACACAGATATTCAATGGTACCTTATAATAATAAACATTCAAGTTAATTTCACCGAATAATTGCGGATTACAGTTATTGAACTTAAAATAAAATAATTTACGATAATAATTTCTCTTGGACGACTTATTGTATTCATATATTGTTTTTGATAATCTATCAGTTATAGAATATTTAAGTAATGAACTTAGCCAGAATTATATTTTTAGATGGAAACGACGTACATCAGTATGATGATAAACTTTTAAGTGAAAAATTATCATGTTCAAAATATTTTACATTTATTTTTAACTTTTCCACATTTGCCATATAAGTTATTCAAAACAATTATTCAATGTATGATTCAGTTATTATTTAAATATTTAACATCTGATAATGGACGAGATATTAACAGTATTCATTTTAAAAAAGACATTGTGATAAAATTAATAAATTTAACTTGACTAGATTTGCTTTTAATTATTGATTGTAATAATAATTGTAATATTAACGATAAACATTATTTCTTATCTACATTTCAACAGACTGATCACAATTGGAGTATATGTTGTAATGCTGATAGATACTATGTTTATACTAAACCGTAGAATATTATATTTAGGCATTTACATTGACAATAGAACATGTAATAACGAATAATTCTAAATTAATAGAACAAACAGAGAAATTCTACACTGATTTTAAGTCATTAGAAACTTTATGTATACAGAATGTTTCAAAAGTTCACACCAAAAAATGTTTTGAATATCTTCGTCATTTCTTAACTAACCTTCAAGATTGCTTTTTTGTTGGATAGAGGAAAGTTCCAAGTTTTATTCCATAGGATTGAGAGTTTTTGTATAGAAACAGTTACTGCGAAAAAATAATAAAACCTGCAACACATGTTCTCTGTATACGTACTTATTATAGTGAGTAAAGGTTATTGAGCTTGTTGTAATTGAATAATTGAACTCTTTGCCAGAGTGGTTCTACGTCTCATTTTGTAGAATTTAAGTTGTTCTACAATTCCACATATTCAAATGTTTTATTCAATTTAAAGTTTTACCAAAAGAAGTTAATTTCTCCCCATTGGCATGATCTGTGGATTCCGGCTTCTGCAGTAGCCTGATCCATCTTCTTATACACCTTCAGACTATTTCACTTTGTAAGACTATCTTCTTTGTATGAAATTCTACTAGCAGTTTTTTCTTTTCTTAGTTAACTTTATTTGAAAAAAATTTATTAGCTTTTTGTACTTTCCCAGTATGGGACAACCATGGCTAAAGAAATCCACACTATCCAGTCATTTTTAAACAAAAGCAAATAATTATTTTGTTATGTAAAAGGAAAAATCAACTACTTTATTTTAATATTAAAAATTATTTATGTTTCATGATAAACCCAAACAATTTCTCAAGTAATAATAAAAATTTCCAAATATATCGAGTAAAATTTGGAGCGTTCCTCTATCCAACAAAAAAAATAACCTTAGAGTATCGTCAAGATATTCAAGGCCTTTTTTGGTGCGAACTTTTGGAACACTCCCATCAATGGAATTATTGGCGAAATAGATATTCTTCAAAGAATAATTAGTCAGAGTTTTTTACTATGAAACAGACGAAAATATTGTTTGATGATCAGCAGCTATACTCAAGTCTCAGAATTAGTTTAAGCAATCAACATTATAATGTACATCAATATTGTTACCATTTGTGTCAGTTTAGAAATAAATTAAAAGAAGACAGAAAGAGATAGGGTGATTACGCAAGTTTTCGTTTGTTTGTTCTGATTATTTTTAATATAAAATCAATATTTGATAAACGACTTTTGTCGTTATTGCTGATTACATGGAAAAAGTGAGAGTATTGCGATTATTGTGTCAGTATTAACGGCAAGGGGGAAACTGCGGACTTTAGACTTGAACGGACTTTGAAAAGTCCGACGGACTTGAGGAGACTTTGATGGACTTGAATAGACTTGAACGGACTCTAGAGGACTTTAAAGCCCTCGAAAGTCCGCTCTAGTCGCATCCGTTGATACATTCCTAAGACATAGAGTAGTCAGTATTTTGAGTTGGTTCC